CGGATGGCTTGTGCCAAGTGTTCCATCACAATCACATAGAGCAGCGGGGATAGGGGGCAGCCCTGTCTGGTGCCATTGGAAATGGCGAACGGCTCAGAGAACGAGCCATTCACCATCACCCTGGCCGTGGGGGAGGAATACAGAGACATGATCCTAGAAATGATGGCACGTCCCAGTCCTATTTTGAAGTAGTGCCTGGTGTAGGAACCCCCAATCAACTCGGTCAAATGCATGTTCTAATGTTTTGTTTTTGAATGTGCGAAATGAGGTGTATCGTTTTGGTGGTGTTCTCCCTGGCCTCCCTCCCGGGTACAAATCCCACCGGTTCTGGGTTAATGAGGGACGGCAAGGATGGGGAAAGACGCATCGCTAAGAGTTTTGAGAACAATTTAATATCAACGTTAAGTAGAGATATTGGTCTGAAATTCTGACATAGGGATGCGTCTTTGCCCGGTTTGGGGATAACGCATATGTTCGCCTCTAACATGGTAGTGGGAAAAGGGTGTGCGTCGTCAACCGAGTTAAAGGTGCGGGTCAGAATGGGGGATACCAGTTCAGAAAGCACTTTATAGAACTGGGGCGAGTAGCCATCCGGGCCTGCACATTTGCCTGTCTTCAGGGCCTTGATAGCCGCATCTACCTCGGGTTGGGAAAATGGGGATTCTAGTGCTTGCACCACCTTAGTGTCTAAGGTCGGCAAAGCGGTCTGCGCGATGTAATCCGTTAAAGAGTCAGGGAGAGTTCCGGCTTGTCGGACTTAAGTAGGGGCGGAGAGATTGTACAATCCCAAATAATAGCGGCGTAATTCCCCAGCGATACCCGAGGTGGATTGAATTTTAGATGACTGGCGATCCAGTATAAAAGGGAGAAAGGCTCTCGGGGGCCGGGGGTGTAGCGTCCTGGAGCTCTGTAACTCGGGTGGACCGGGTTTTTTTGAGGCGAGAACCGTGTTTAATGAAAGTGCCCCGAACCACACATTTAAGAGCTTCCCATTGAATCAGCGGGTGAATGGTATCTTTGGCATGGTCAGAGACTAAATTCCTAACTGTTGCCGTAATCTCGTCTAGACACAGGGGGTCTTTTAACAGACTGTCGTTCAGCCTCCATGAGAAATGGGTATGTTGGACAGAGGGAACTCCTATAGTGAGAAACACAGGGGCATGGTCAGACCAGATGCGGAGGCCGATTTTGGCCGCACGGGTCGGGTCTAAAAGGTGCTGAGCCAGGAATACATAGTCCAGCCTACTATACGAGTTGTGAGGCGGGAAAAAATATGTATAGTCTTTGTCAGAGGCATGGAGAGCCCGCCACACGTCAGCCGGAGCTTAAATAATAAAGTTTTACATTTAGCAAGGGATGTGTGCGAGAGAGGGGACTTACCGGAGGAGGAATCCAGACAGGGCACTAGTGCGAGGTTGAAGTCTCCACCCAGGATCAGGTTAGGGCATCCGAAATTCTCCAGAGCTGTGACCAGCTGTGCAAGGAAGGTCAGTTGGTCCTGGTTTGGGAAATAGACATTAGCCAAAGTGTATACATGACCAAAAAGTTTCACTTTCAGGAAGAGGAATCTACCTAAGGGGTCAGTTTGTTGCTGCAGGATCTCAGGAAGCAGGGTGGAAGGCTATAGACACACCTTTGGACCGTGCAACAGAGTTCGTGCTAGGTGTTATTCTGGGGATGGTATCACTGCAGAAGTGAGTCTCCTGCAGGAACAAGACACCTACCTTGTGTTTATGGAAGTGGTAAAGCACCTGGCTACGTTTTTGAGGGGTGTTGAATCCCCGGACATTGAGGGTCGCTAAGGCAATATGAGGGGCTGTCATCATGGGGGTCTCAGGGTCCTCATCAATACACCGTGAGCCCCTCCTGGGTCAAGGATGGGAAGGGAAAGAGTAGGGAGGGGGGAGACAGGGGAGCGGCAGACAGAGGATAGGAAAAAGAAAAGGATACAGTAGAAAATAAGTGCAGTTCTGCCATCTAGTGGCATAGGGAGGAAGGACATTTTGGCAAACCAAATTTTGGTCCAATGAACACTTTTGACAAGTAGTCAAAATGTCAGTGAGCACACTCACTGACGGCCTAAGTGGGGGTAACATGGTAAGCACAGGGAGCACCTCCCGCTCCAGGGCATCAACGTTAAATATGAACTAGGTAGTACAAAATCACAACAGTAAGATGTATATTATAAAAGAAAAAAAAATTTAGGCACTTAATAGTAGATGCATGAAAGTCAATTCAATACAGTAACAATAATGGTAACTTTATGGACGGCAGCAGCATACGTGGTGGGTAACCACGGCAAACTTCCCACGTGGGGCTCCCGGTATCATCCGGTAAACGGCAGGGGACATCCAACCCCTGCCGAAGAACGCGTCTCGTCCGAGGCGTCTAAGGCGAAAAAGTATGGAGGTGAGTGAACCATCAGTCAGGTGTTGGAGGAGGAAGAGGCCTCTACCCGGCCGGCAGACCTGTTCGACTTTTGCTTCCACTGAGAGGCTGATACAAAACCGGGGAGGGTCGGTGTGAGTGGCCAGTCCGAGAGGGCGACCTGTGGGAGTTCCAACTTTCCCAGGAAGGAGGGGAGGTCACCCCAGGAGCGAAAGATGGCTGATTTTCCTTCGTGCACAACAATAAGTTGAAAGGGGAATCCCCAGCGGTATTTGATGTTGCGCTGGCGGAGGAGGTCGAGTAGGGGACGCAGAGCCCTGTGAAGAGTGAGTGTATGTCCCGAGAGGTCCGGCAACAGGAGTATAGAGGATCCATTGAACATGATGGCGTCCTGCGTGCGAGCAGCCCTCATGATGTCATCTTTACAGTAATCTTGAAGAAGTGGATCCTGCATATTACGTCTCTGGGACTGGATCTGTCAGGACGCCTAGCCCCCAGCGTTCTATGGATCCTGTCTATTTCTATGGGGGTGTCCCTGGGTTAATTCAGGATCTGATTGAAAAGCGCCTTTGCGGCCGCCTCCAGGTCACTGTGTTCAACAGACTCCGGTAATCCCCTGATGCGAATATTATTACGCCGATTTCTGTTTTCCTGGTCGTCCTGCTGATATATCAATTGGTGAAGAAGCACTGTATGCTCCTGCAGAGTAGTATCATGCAGTTGTACATGTGAGTGCAATTCAGCTGAGGATTGCTCTATATCTTCCAATCTAGTGCTTAAGTCCTTCTTTAAGGACATTTCCCTTCTATAAGTGTTTTCAAGGCGGGAGAAGCAGGATTCAATGTCCTTCATAGTGGGCAAGGCTTTTATGTATGCTTCCATGTCCCAACCCTCATGGGAGCTGAGTGAGGCCTGGGATATGCTCCTGGATTGCTGGGATAGCTGGGATAGTCCCCCTGGGCTCTGGGGCGAGTGTCCCTCTTTTGGCTGGCTCACCTTTTCCATGTGTGGAGCATCCGATTGTGCTGGAGAAAGCTCCGGCGGCGCCATCTTGGCTGCACGTGTGGAGGTAGAGTGAGAGGCCGCGGGCGCTGTCCGGGCGAAAAAACGGGTCAATTCCCGCGGCACGGGCCCCTTCTTAGCCTGCTTCTTGCTCCTCTTCCTCCGGTCACTCATTGCCGGTGCTCGTGGGGGAGAAAGCCGCTGCTGCCTGCTATATTATGTGCCCCTGAGCGGGAGACGAGCCGATACACGTCTCACCGCTCCATGCGCCAAGCCACGCCCCCCATCTGCCTCTTTTAAACCTATGGATTTACCTATAGCATTTTGGAAATCTCTTCATTCTGAGGGTCATAAAAGAGGTAATATTTCTAATTTATATAACTTATTGCAAAACAAGCTGTCTTTCCAAAAATTACTTGCCATGTGCAAATGGGAAGACGACATAGGCTCCATTTTCTCGGATGCACAATGGCAATCAGCATGTATAAACTCTAAACACTCCAAGTGCATCTCCCACTGGGAAGTTTCACAAAAAATAATGCTCCGTTGTTACTTAAACGCTTACTGCCTTTCAAAGATATACCCTGACCATTCTCCTCTAGGTTGGAGACACTGTGGTCAAATTGGCAATCTATTACATATATTTTGGTCATGTAAATTAATTAGAAATTTTGGGATATCCTTATTTAAATTTCTAGCCTCCTTTACCGGAATCTTAACTGTTCCTTCCCCACACAAGGCTTTACTAAGTATTGGAATTGATGTTTATCTACCCAACTTCTGTACTATTGTTATGCACATTCTTTATGCAGCACCCTCGGTTATTGCTTACCATTGGAAGATGCCTTATGCTCCCTCTCTACAGGAAATTGCTTCTCGTGTCAATAACCATGGGTTATATGAAAAAAGTATTGGCGTATAGAGCACATTACCCCAAATATTTCCATAAGGCATGGAATGCATGGTTTTCCAAGCCTTAACAATTAACACTACTGATTTAATATTTTCTCAGTTTGATAAAACATTCTGAATCTCTGGAGCTCTCAGTTTCTGTCCCTTCTCTATCCCTCAACTTTCTCCTTCTCTCCTCCCTACCTACCTTCCATCCCTCCTTTTATCCATAACCTCTCCCCTTGTTTATTTGATAGTATGTTTTACTAAGACCAATGTGTGGAATATCTATGAAGCATACTTTTGATTTGAAGAGCTGATTAGCTGATCAGCTACTTCGTTAGCTAGCCAGTGTTCTCTGCGCCCTTTCTTGGTTTCTTGAACATTTGCATTTCACAGGTTCTCCTCCTGTTTTCCAGGGCTGCATACACGCCTCTAAGCCAACTTTTTGCCCATCCGAGAGTGCTGTTTACATGTTTTTTCTGTTAGTATGAATTTACCACACTTATGCTTCATAGATCGTCCACAATGTTGAATTCTGTGTACCTAGACATATTATTATTTAGGTTAAGGTAAATAACGGCACCTTGTTCAACTTAAATATGCTTTACTATCAATGTTTTGGTCCTTTGCTTTCTCTCTTCTCCATTATACATAAAAGTTAATCAAAATCTAAAGTAAAAAAAAAAGAATATAAAATTGTGTTTATTTTGATTAAGAGTCTGATGCTTCAAATTGCCAAAAATGAGATGGAACAGGAGGAGGAAGATAGAGCTCGAGAGAAAGAGAAAGTCTTGGCCGAACGATGTGAACCACTTCAGCTTTCTGGATTGTCACTTTCTGAGCTTCAGGTAAAGAATAGTGGTAAACAATCAGAGTTGAGAGCTCTTGGTCCGGTTCTGTTAAGACAATCAGGCCAGTCCCTTGTGGTCTGTTAAACCTTTAAGTCATGCATCATATATATATATATAGATATATCTATATCTATATATATCTATATATAGATAGATATATATAGATAGATATATATAATAAAGTACCTTTAAACTATCTAGTGGGGGGGTCCCTTGTAACATTTTGAAAGTGAAAAGATCAGCAATTGCAACCCCCCCCAGAAAAAAAAAAACTGCACTTTAGCTATCTCCACACAATTTTAGACATCTGCGGAAGTACATGTTGCCTGTCACAAGTGAGTATGTCTAAAGTAGAAATACTAGCTTAGCTCCCATGAGACAATAGCTTTCTTTGTATCGTAATATGTAAGCACTACAGTACTGTCAATATATTGGTGGTTAGCACAAATACTACATAGAAATTCTTCAGAAAGTCATATCCTGACTGCATTTTGTTTTTCAAATTCTTTATTTTTTGTTCACAGACAATGGAAATTAACATAGTATACTCAGGTATAATGCTACTGTATTATGTTATAATTATAATTTAGAGCTAAAAAAAATAATAATATAGTCAATTAAGTATTTTTTCCAAAACAAGTTGTGTTGGTATCCTTAATGTAAGGTAACTGAAGCGGTAATTATTGATACTTGGGTAAGTAATTCCACTGACAGAGAAATGTTTATTCGTAAACAAGGAGAGTGGGAACGGGGAAGGTGTGAGAAAAGGAGGGCATTGTGTCTAGACTGAATTAAGTCTAGCATGGGATGGCTCAAGTGGGATGGGAGGGTAGTATAGGAAAGAGGAGCAAGGAAAGGGGGAAAAGAAAGGGAAGAGTTGGTGAGAAGAGGGAGTAGTGGGGGATAAAGGGAGGGTTGTGTGTAGAGGTGGGAAATAGTAGGAAAGTTGAGGTAGTTGTGTACAGCTTTACTCATCAGAGTAAAGGAAGCTGATTTAGTAGTGCCCTGTCTTTCTATGTGTCTGATTTGTCTATGGGGAGAGGGTTAGGTCTTCCATCTGATCAGTGGCGTAACAATCACCATAGTGACCCAAGTGGCCGCTTTGGGGCCCCGGGGCACAGGAGGGCCCGGCCAGGACGGCTCCCTGATGCCTCCATACAAGATTTTGCTATGGGGCCCTGTGATTTCTAGTTACGCCCCTGCATCTGATCCACATAGAGATGGATGGGGGGATCCAATACAGGCTTTTGAACATTTTAAGAGGTGCTTCAAGACTGATTTGTATAATGTTTTAATGAGTATGAAGTTATTGTGTAAGAGGACAGAAGAAGATAAGTGTAGGGGGTTGCAGTGAATTGTTGGGAGATTTTCCTGATGTTTGTCATGTTATCTGTCATATTAGAGTAAGACCAGAAGATATTGTGTAGTGAGCCTTTCTCCGCCTTGCACCTCCAGCACTGGTTCATGGCAAATGTGATTATTTTTAAAATTCTGGATGGGGTTTTGTTCTATCACATGCAGTGTGATATTTTGAGAGGTTTGGTAAAGCAATTCCACTGTGTGATTTCGGGTAGGTCAGAGCTTAGTGTGGGATCTGGGGATGTGTTTGTGCTCAGATACAGTTAATAAACAAGGAGATGGCTGATTGTGAAAAGTTTGAAAAAATAAGATTTGGCAGGGAATGGAGAAGATTTCAAAATCTAGAGAGGAGTGCCATTTTAAAGATATTACAAATTCCAAACCATACGAACTCTATTTTTGCAACACATGATGGACTTCAGTGTGGGGGGAGGATTCAGAGCATAAGTGACACAGATTTTTGAAAATAAATTTTTAGGTTAGCGAGTGCCCCTTAGACTCTGAGTTGTTTTGGTTGATTTGGAGAAAGTCTTCCCCCACTTGTGACACAGAGAAAGAATGGGACATCTGTGGGAGGGGAGACTATCCCCCCCCGGGTCCAGGTGCTAACAACTGAGGAAGTCTGTCAGCCAATTTTCCACACCTGGAATGTGCATGGTAGTTTGGGCTGGAACACAGTGGCGTAACAACCAGGGGTACTCTTGCTTGTTTGTAGGTGACCAAATACTTATTTTCCACCATAATTTGCAAATAAATTTGTTCCAAATCAGCCGATGTGATTTGTCTGGATTTGTTTTCTCATTTTGCCTCTCATAGTTGAGGTCTACCTATGATGCCAATTACAGGCCTCTCTCATCTTTTTAAGTGGGAGAACTTGCACAATTGGTGGCTGACTAAATACTTTTTTGCCCCACTGTAGTTCCCTTTGGCAACCACTTCGGTCCTTACCCCCGATATGTCCAGTATGCTTCCGAGTCTTTAAATTCCAACCACTTCCCCCATGTTTTAAGATATGCCCCGTAATTATCTTTTTTCATTGTAACCATCTCTTCCAGTAGACTAGTGGCCCCTATCTTGGTCAGCCACTCATCACTGGAAGGGATTTTGGGTGTCCCCCAATACCGCGGGATCAGGGACTTGGCCGCATTTTGCATATGGGGTATTAGAGATTTTTTGTAAACCTTGACTGAGTCCGTTGTATGATGGAATAAGAACACCCACGGGTCCATTGGTAATTGTACCTCACATATGTGTCCTATAATGTCCTTCACCCTTTCCCAATAAGGTTTTATCTTGGGGCAGTCCCCCCATATATGCGCAAAGGATCCCACCCCTCCACATTCCCTCCAGCAGCCGTCTTCATTTGAAGGGTGCACCCTTTGCAATATCTGGGGAACCTGGTACCACCGTCTTAACAGTTTATAGTTTACTTCCATTGTTCTAGCATCTACAGTTGTGCTAGTAGCTAGTGTTAATATTTTCTTCACCTCTTCCTGTGTGAGTGTATAGTTAAATTCCCGTTCCCAGTTCCTTAAATATTTTGGGATACTATCATTTTCTTTTTTGATAATTGCTTTATATATTTTTGATAGGCAGTGTTGAGGTGATTGTTTAGCTCCCATAATCGACTCAAATACGGTCAAGTCCCCCCCTATTCTCAAAGGTTTGGGTAAGGTTTGGAAAAAAAGTTTTAATTGTTGATGTCTCCACCAATCCAGGGGGTAGCTTCCCCATTCCTCTCTTAGCTCCTGTAAGGAGCTGATCCTTGCCCCCGACAAGATGTCTAACACTTTTAGTTGAGGGCGCTTGCTCCAGTTTAGAAAGGCCTTGTCGGCTTTGCCCGGCGGGAAGTAATCATTCCCCAGTAATGGGATGAGAATTGAGTTGTACTTCCATCTACGGCACATCCAATCCCATGTCCACAACGTTGACATGGTCAGAGGCGCTGCATCTACCGACAGCTGTCTCTTTGTCATTGGTATCCAATTTATTCCCGCCAGGTCCACTCCACCAAGTGCCATCTCCAGCCGTACCCAGCCTTTCTGTCCTGACCCAAACGTCCAGTCTACCAGTCTATTCAACTGAGCCGCTATATGATAGGACCTGAAATCCGGCAGGGCCACTCCTCCGTCTTGTCTCTGCCTGCTCAGGGTATTCCTTGCTAGTCTGGGTTTCCTATTCTGCCATATATATCTAGATATAACCTTCTGTAGGGTCTGGCAAAAGATCCTAGGGATTTCAATCGGTATCATCTGGAATACAAATAGCACTTTAGGCAGGATCATCATTTTTACCGCGTTAATTCTTCCTAACCATGACAGTTTACGCAGTCCAAAAGTTGCTAAATCTGCTTTAATTGAGTTCAGGATCGGTATTATTATTATTATTATACAGGATTTATATAGCGCCAATAGTTTGCACAGCGCTTTACAATATAAGGAAGACATTACAGTCACAATACAATTTAAGACAAGATGGTAAGGAGGGCCCTGCCCGTGAGGGCTTACAATAGTTGAAGGGTGCACCCTTTGCAATATCTGGGGAACCTGGTACCACCGTCTTAACAGTTTATAGTTTACTTCCATTGTTCTAGCATCTACAGTTGTGCTAGTAGCTAGTGTTAATATTTTCTTCACCTCTTCCTGTGTGAGTGTATAGTTAAATTCCCGTTCCCATATATAGTTAACTTTATATAGCTCCGTAATTCTGGGAGTTAAATTGATTCCCAGGTATTTAAGCCTATCCCCCTTCCATCGGAAAGGGAAATATGAAGTTAGCGCCTGTCTCAGTTAAATTTAGGATCTCTGATTTGTCTAAGTTGATTTTAAAGTTTGAGAGGTCTCCATGTTCCTTTAAATCCCTCAGCACTTGGGGGAGCGTTGTTCTAGGATATTTTACATATAGCAAGATGTCATCAGCGTAGGTGGCTACTTTAAATTCCCCCGCCTGTGTCGCTATCCCCTGGATATTTTGATTCAGGCGGATAGTAGCAAGCAGGGGTTCCAGTGCCAAGGCAAAAAGTAGGGGTGAGAGCGGGCATCCCTGCCGTGTTCCGTTGTATAATTTTAATTCCTGTGACAGGGAGCCATTAATTCTCACACTTGTCGTTGGATTGGCATATAATGCAGTTATCCAGTGCAGCATCCTCTTCCTCAGTCCCAGCGTGGTTAATGCGCTAAACATAAAGCTCCAGTCTACCCTGTCAAAAGCTTTTTCAGCATCTATTGACAGGAGTAGAGCTGGCACACCCTGCCTTCTTGCCGTGTGGATAAGCAAGGTCGTTTTAATAGCGTTGTCTCTTGCTTCTCTACCCGGTATGAATCCCACCTGGTCTACATGTATCCAGGTTGGGATAAAGGGGCGGAGTCTATATGCCAGTATTTTTGCATAAATCTTAGTGTCTGCATTCATAAGGGAGATAGGGCGGTAGCTTGCACATAAGCTTGGATCTGTTCCTGCCTTCTCAATCACTGTGATATTTGCTTTCTGGGTGCATTTTGGAATTTTCCCCTATCGAGTTTACATAAGCGAAAAAATGCTGCTTTAAGAGGTCTTGGAACCTCTTATAATATAACAACGTGTATCCGTCAGGCCCGGGACTCTTGCCTGGCGGAGTCGAGGCTATGACCCTTTTAAAT